TTATTGCATTTTCAGTTCATTTATGCCTCAATTAACTGTTTCAGAGGAGTGATCACAGCACTCTGTATCATCAGCGATGTGTCTGTCTCACGGCCAGCTCCCAGATCAGCTTCTCTGATTGGTTGATGCGGCGCGTCGAGCAGCAAAAGTTAAATTCTTCCATCTCAAGCAGCAGTGCGTTTGCGGCGCGTCACACGCGTCAGATGCTTAAACGCTCTCGGTGCGCTGCTTCAGCTGCTCAGACGCGCTGCGCCTGCTGCTCAAAACGCGCTGCGGGACATTTTGCTGCGCCTTGACGTGCGTCAACCATTGACTTTGCATGTAAACTCGCTGCTTCTGCAGCGCCTGCTGCTCAAAACGCGCTGCGGGACCTTTTGCTGCGCCTTGACGCGCGTCAACCATTGACTTTGCATGTAAACTCACTGCTTCTGCAGCGCCTGCTGTGTCCGGTGTGAACGCAGCAGTAGATAATTCTGCCATAGTTGGCCTTGTCACATGTAAGTGGACCGGTTCTTCGCCTGTAACACAGTTTGCATTTTTAAGATGCATGTTTTCTTTGTTTATTCTGACAAGAGCAATGAACAGAAAACAATTGTGTTATGCTCCAAATCCTATAAAAAGCAAATGTCAGGGCTCAGAAAATAGGACCCAGAATTCAGGCAGACAGAACAGGTTTGTTTTGAAGTAAAATGCTTTATCGATTGTCCTGGATTGTGCGGCTCGTCAGCAGGGACCAGCTTGCTGGGTTTTCTGTAGAGATAAATGCACAAGTTAGTGACCACTAGACTCAGACAGTGAACAAGCATGTGAGTCACTAACCTGGCTCTTAGTTATGTGTGTGTCCAGGGGAAGGAGTAGGAACCAGTCAGATGTTTTCTCCACAGCCTGTGGCGGGAACCGTACAGAGAGTTCCAGGAGTGAGGCAGAGCAGACTGTCGACCGGAAGCCAGGAAATGCTAGGAAAGAGCAGGAGAGTCCAGAGCAGGGGACGAAGCAGATGTCCAGACCAGAAGATCAGAGAGACGCAGAGGTACCAAAGGTAAAATCCAAGTCGGGGTCAGGGGACAGATCAAACAGCAGTCCGAGCACAGGGACAGGCAGGAACAGACCGAAATAGGGGCAAGCCAAAACTCAGGAATCCAGAGACATAAACTGGTCAGGATCAGGCAGTAAAAACACAACAGGGTATGTTAGATGACTCTCACACTCAGCTCAAATAATCTGGCCCTGATTGCTGGAAACAGGCAGCATACATAGGAGCTGCAACAGTTATATAGTTTCTGAGAACGGCACAATGTTTGTCTTCTGTGTAATTTTATTTTCCTACATTCTGCTGAAAACATCTGAATTTACCCAATTTATGAATATAAAAGAAGGTTTATATCAAAGCTAAATTATTATCCATTATGCTAAATAAATTTACTTTCTGAGGACTCTCAGGATGTGTGACTGTTGCTGAGCCTCATCACAACCAGGAGATGTCAGCAGAGAAGAGGTATTGGAAAAACCTAAATGTGTAAAAGCTCCTCACACTCTCAGGTGCTGTGTCACCTCTCCAGTGGAAGGTGGGGGAGGACAATTAATGTTTTTAAGGGCAAGAACACTTTGCAACCCAATACACTTTCATGACAAACATCATTATAAATATTACCTAAACACACACTTTCCAAATTGTAACATGTTAAAAAGGTTTACACCAAATTATACTTCCAAAAACTCCTTTTTCAGACCTGTTAGGAAGATTTGAGGGTTCTGATATGCAGACATGTTGCTGCACAGTTTTGTTGCAGCAGTTTTTCTTTTTACTCATCTACATGTGCTCAGCTATATCTTCAATTGCTCTAAGAGCTAGGTCACTGTTTTAGCATAAGAAGTGAATGGTTTCTTTGCCCTAACTCTGTAGAAAAAAACAATTGACTAATTTACAGGTGTACATTTTTCCTTCCACCACAGAGAATAAATCAATCTTTGCATGAATTGAAGGTTTTAGGTCACCATTGAGTACTTAGTCCTACTTTAAATACTATAAATACACCCAGCTAAATATTGGTCTCAGTCTGGTGTTTAGATTTACTTATACTCTTCAGTAAATGACCAATTATTAGACTGTACCAAAACCATGAACTATAACACCATCCACTGCTAAACGGCAGCTGAATAAACTGACAGTTTATGTATTTATCTAGTCTGCATGTAGCTTGCCCAAAATTTAAGATCCTCTTAAATGTGTGCACCAACAAATGTTGGGCAACTTCTGCTTTAACAAGAACTAAATGTCAGACTGGGGTTAAACTAAATTAGTGCATGATCATAGCTCATTTAAAAGTTGTAAATAAAATTCTTAATTTGGACATAAACGTGTTCTCATTTCTTCATCACTCTTCCAAATAATGTTAAAAACATACAGTTGTAATTTATATAAATATATAAAGATATATGTATAAAATGCCATTATGTTGCTGTTGAGTCCTTCTTTCGCTGAATTTATAAACTTCCATTTAGTTTTTTTCTTTTCTATTTCCTTAAACAACTTGAAAAATTCAAATTATAAATCAAGCTTCCCTCATTGCCCAGCCTTAATCGGCAGAAAGCAGTACTTTGTATATAAAAGGTTTGACTGAAGAGACTCAAAGCACTCTAACCCCTGTTAACCTTTATAATGAAATCCTTATTTTGTTTAACCTATCAATCATACAAAATGAAAGTTACATCTGTTTCTTTCTGTCTATAGATATATCTACAAGAATTGTTGGAATGCAAAGGTTAGAATTTTCAGAATCCTTTAAGACCAGTTTTATTTTCTGCTGCTCTCTGCAAACTTACAGTTGTACCCAGCCCCGGCCTTCAGTGGATCTATTCACTGACAGCAGTGTTGTTTGAAGAATTTGATATAAATACTTTTCATTATTTATTATAATCTCAAGTTTAACAAAAGAAGAAGGTCAACTGTGTTATAAATGGGCTCCTGTATGTGCGTAACAGCCTGATCCCCCCTCTGGAAATAGACACAGGTGCCTGCACAGCTGTCACAAAGACCTTACCTTTGAGGGTAAATGTCACGCCGTCAGCTTTATCAAGTTGAAGTTTATCCCAAAACCTCCTCAAGCGCAGCTTTTGTTCATATTCAAACAGAGAGCTGTTTGATGACACCAGAGAAGCTTTGTTCACTTCAAGTTCATCATGTAAAACACAGCATTGTTCAATGTTCTCATAGAAAAACATGCTTGTCAAAATATAATTAAGAAGGACACTGGTGGCAGCATTTTATAAACATGAAAATTAAATACTGCAGTGGAATGAAATGTGGATGGTACTGCTTCATATTTGTGGATTTCTACTTTCTAAGTAGCCTATTTAAATGCATCAAAGTACAAACTGTCAATATGCCATGCAGGTCTGCAACTGACAAGTTTACTTCAATTACTCAACACCATGAACTGCCCCCTTAAATACAAAGAGAAACCAAAATGATTTCTTATGTTAAGATGCAGGTTCATTATTAAATTGTTTCTAATGATTACATAAACAAACCCAGGATAGCATTTTATTTCATATTATCAGGTTCCTACATTTCAGAAATGTAATGTCTGAGATCATTCTTAATTCGTGAAATCTAGGTTCTGTCATGGTTTTGGTTCTGTTTAAGTTTTCTTTTGAGTTTTCATTTTCATTGTGTGTTATTCTTGTTGTTTTTAGTTATATTTTTTGAGTTCTTATCTATTTCTTGTTTACCTGCTGTTGCCCCCTTGTGTCAGTTTCCTTTCCCTAGCTCCCTTCTAGATGCTTCCATCCACATCTGCTCCTTGTCGGCTTATTAGCCCAGTCTTTGTTCAGTCTCCCGTTTATACTCCTCTTGTGCAGTTATAACAACACCAGTTATATAAACCACCTCTGCAGTTCCTCACTGCTGGTTCCTCATCACTCCTTGTTCCTCGTGTGTTTTCCCTGACGTCTCCTGTTTTTTGGTTTTGCTGTATTTCGTTGTCGGACTTTACCTTCTGTTGCTTTTGGATCTACATTAAATCAGGAAAAACTAATCTTTGCCTCCTTCTGTCTCTGCATTTGTGTCCTCTTCAAACCTCCACTTAACCTGAGAATTTTGTATTCCCTTAAAAATTGGAAATTATTAAATGTTTTAAATTTAACAATGCTTTATTATAAAGAGATTAGTATAGATGAAGTTATTTTTTTTTTTTTCAGGTGAAATATAGTCTAACGCTTTTTTTTATGTGAAAATATCACACTCTGTACTCTTGAAGAATAACCTGGACTGAAAGACTGGTATGTTTCCCATTGATGATATTAAGTAGTCAATAACAAGGCAAAAGATTAATCGATAATCACTGGTTGGACATTATGCACTAATAAATAAGATCTTTTTTTTAGTTTTTGATCTAAATAAGGGAACATACACTACCTAATGATGCCAGTTGTTAAAATGCTGACGCGCTTGCATCTTTTAGATGTTCCTTGGGCTCATCCCATGACCCGACAAGATAAAGCTTCCTCTGTTGCACAAAGACTCTTACTGTTTGGATGGCTGTTAACTAGAATGATTTTAAGTCCCTTTTAGAAGACAAACTTCTTAACTTGGCTTGTAATCCAGGTTCAGCATAAATATTGTTGAGAATGTTATCATATATATAGGGAAAAAAAGCACTGTTCGTCACCCACCGCGGGTGGGCACCCTTTTTTCCTCCAAGCTCAGGTCCTCTACCAGAGGCCTGTGAGCTTGAAGGGTCTGTGCAGTATCTTTGCTGTTCCTAGAACTGCACTTTTGTGGAATTCATGCTCTTTTCAGAACTAGGTTTTTGTGTTATATAAGGTAAAGAGAAATTTATGTCTCTGCAAGTCATCTAGGAGTCTTCAGTGAAATCATAGATACCGGTAAATAACTACTTTATGTTATATGGAGAAGATGTTCGCCCCAGAAATTTCGTCCTCTATTCCTTTAATCAAGACAGCACAGATGTTGAAATTTATGCGTCTATTAGTTAGGAAAGGCTGTAGGAAAGTTAGTCTTTATTTAGAAAATATGGATATTGTGGTCATTCCTGTTTGAACGGTGTAGATTGACCCTGAGGTTCTGGCGCCTATTCCATTTTGGCCACCCCACAGTGTATATTGGTTATTGCCTGGACACCCTTCAGTGGCGGTTCTAGACCAAATGTACCATGGGGCCAGGAGGGGTGTTTTCATGGGGGTACAGAAAAGCATGAAATAAAAAAAAACAGGGCAAGGGATTCAAATATATTAAGAGCTTTATGAAGTGAAATTTCTATTCAATTAGGTTTAATTAAAATGATATGTCTTACTAGGTCAAATTACATTAATAATTTAGGAATTTAACATATTTTTGAATTAATTTAAGTTAGAATTACCGTTTTCTACACAATCTGAATTAGATTTCAAGAAAAACTAATGAATTCAGCCATAAAAATGAGAGCAAATTGTTTTGAAAAAAACATTTAGCAGAAGAAAACTGGGATCCTATCTCAATACCACTGAAGCTTTCACCTTATTTATTTTAAATAATTAGTAAAACCAGATTTGTAAAGAAAAAAAAATGAAATAGACCCAAATGACCTATCAGTTACCATGTCTGTTCCAGCGCATATCATCATTAGAATTTATTTAAGTATTATGTCTTCAGTAGAGGGGCCATAACATGATCTACAGGGGCACTGGCCCCTGTCTAGAACCGCCCCTGAGAGTATCAATACTCTGACTCAAGTACTGATATTTAGTAGCCTACTTCTCCCACCACTGAAGGAGGTTTTGGTCGATGCGCCTGGTGTATTTTCAGAAACTTGGTTGGTTGGCGCTGAAAGCCTCCTTTGAGCCTGACAGCAGTGTCCTTCTGACAGCTCCGCCCCTCTGTGCGCGTCTGCCCTCCTCTCTGCGCGGCTGTCACTTCAGGGAAACGCTCACTGGAGGTCGCAGCACTTTTCTACTTTGAAGCTCAGCTAAAGCCCACAGGCTGTCCTCTCTTCCCCAAGGGTCAGACATGGCGGAGACAGGAGGCGCAAGTGCATACGGAGTTGCTCTCGCTGGAGGAGGTTTTGACTTCTACAAGTTTGTCCGACAGCCGCAAACCATCGTGCGGCTCCTCAGCTGGGTGAGTTAGTGCGCTGGTTGGAGTAGCTTAGGTTTCAAATGAGTCAGGTGGTCTGATAGAGCAAGAATAGGCTACTAGGTTTCATTAAAAACAAACTCTATAAACTTAAAGTTGTTGCGTCTCCAGCAGGTGTCGTGTTTCTTGCAGCTGTTTGGTGACAGATAAACACTGAGGCCAAAAGAAGCAAAAATGTCCAATAAACTGACCTTAACTCTACAGTGTTTATATGTTATGCAATGTTAGTTTGAATACCATGAAATCATGTTCAGTTGGTAGTTTTTCTACAATGATCACATGGTCTGCTTTTGTCTTTTTATCAGAAATTCCTTAAAGTCTTAGCAAGATAGTTTCTATCTACTGTGCATGCAGGGCCTGATTCAGGAGGTTAGGGCCTCCTGGGCTAGAGCCAAACTTGGTGCCCAGCCCATACAGGTTATATTAGATAAGTATTTCAGTATGCATCATGTTCCAGGTTTTCATTTGTTGTCATGAAAATAGTTTAAACACCAAATAGAAAAGGCTGGTATTAGGATGCAAACTATCAGTAAAATTTCATTTTTTTTTTTTTAAAAAGGAGGCGTGCAGCATGTGGTTAAAGCTTGCTGCTCCGTGTCACATAAGGGTTAGGTTAGAGCAGAGGCTGACGTCGCTGTTGTCAAACAGTTGTGTGTTGGCCCTAGATATATGACCGTGAAGGTTTCACTTTCTCCGTTCTTGATTTGAGTCCTGGTGGAATATAATCTTCACATTTTCTGAGATATTCCTGAGGAGCAAAGTCCTCCTGGTGCCTGAGATTAGACAAAGTACTTCTTTCAAAGCAGATAAAGGGGAATATTCCTTCCATTAGATGAGAGCTGCCTGCCCCTGGGATTGTTATTCATTTGCTTTGGAAAAACTGATTGTGTATTGGTGTGTGTGTGTGTGTGTGTGTGTGTGTGTGTGTGTGTGTGTGTGTGTGTGTGTGTGTGTGTGTGTGAAAGAGAGAGAGAAGAGGAGTGTGTTGCTGGTAAATAGGGGCTCTGAACAGGCAGGTAAGGTGATACCTCTCCCCACCAGCTGACCCCTTTCTGTTACTCTTGGTCAGCTACTGAACTCCCCCTAAATGTGGTGCATCACTGCTGTAGCTGTGTAAAAACCCATCTGAAATTCATTTAATTCAGATCAGAGTCTATATCTGGGGTTTGAAATCTTATTTTAAACTTGTATGTTCTGCAATCATACCTCCAGGTCCCATGACGGGTCTCATTTATTCTGGGATTAAGGGAAAGTAGGCAGAAGGTCAGTCTTTGTACATGACATGCAAAGATGCCTTACCTTGTATAGATTTGTCTCAATCAAATCCAAAGTTTATTGACATTGATGAAACACTGACAGCATTTGTTTCCTATAAATTTTCTTACAGTTGATTTTAACATTAGGCAATGTGCTTTACTAAAGGAAGTAAAGAAAATACTTACTGCAGGCATTTTCAGTCTAAATACTGCAGCGTTTTTCAACTTGCTTCTTTATATCCAAATCCAAAAATCCACTCTTGACCCTTTAATTAAAAAAATATAAATCATATTGAGCTGCATGTATTTCTTTCAGGCATTTTTTGATTATTTGTGACAAAATTTAGCTCCTGGTATTTATTGTTTTGTTGCATCGTTTTTAATTATGTTAGCCATGGCAGCAAGTAGCATGGGCCACAATTTGCACTTCTATTTTTTTAGCAAACAACATTTATTTTTGACACATTTTGAAAACTGTATTGTAGGTTTCTAGCTTGCTGAAATAATTAACCCCTTATTTTTACAATTATGTTTTAAACAACATACAAACCTTGTAGCAGCAGCCGACCATGTAAAATGTAACTCCGGTCAGCTGAGAGCAGAACCTAAGGGTATAATTTGCACTGTGTCACCAATAACATATGGGGGAAATGTTGAGAAACTCATTGAGTCTTGATTTTAGCTGCACCATTCAGTTTGTAGAGTCAGAACAAGCCAAAACAACTTGGATCATTCCTGATTGCATCAATGCTTCAGGCTGGTGGTGTTGGAGATGATCCTTTTGCATCATCACAAACATCACATTCAATTAAAAATACTTTCTAAACCCAAAGGGAAATGAAATGTTATAACTCAAATTATAGGAGTTTCTTCCCCGGTTTTTGTAGAAGCTGTTGGCAGGAAGGCTCTCCAGCTGCTGTCTGTCTTTCAGCAAATCTAGAGAAGCCTCTGACTAAAGATGTTGTAGTGGTACGACAGTCTGATAGTTGACCAAATTGTTTTCATTTTATGAAGTGCACATAGCAAAAAGAAAGACTACCTGTTTGTCAGGTAGTCTTTCATCCCAGTGATAAGGGAGACCTGCAGTGAAACAGATACTAAAAAAGTTTCCCTAATACTGTACTAAACTACTGTTTAAATGTTAGCGCTCTGTGAAGCTGTATCGTTTTCAACCATATGTGGCTCTCATTTTAATAATTTTACCTAAGATTTGAAGTAAGGAATTTTCTAATCTTAAACAAATGACTGCTGCATCAGTATGGGGAAATGGGGAAAGAAAAAAAACAAAACAAATGATAACCCAGTCAGTATTATTTGTAAGTTTCAAAAAGGTGCAAACCTGTTTAGCTGGAATATTTTAAGATTAGAAAAGCTGCAAGGATATAATTAAAGAGGAAGGCGTTCTAAAGAAGCTGCGGTCCCAAGCTGCTGGGAAATTTCCCATATATTTAGTCTCTTTCCTCTCATGAACCGTGGACTTCTACCTAAACCTTTATTTTAGCTCCATGTGCATTCTCTTCTCCTCTGCATGTTTCTGTTTGGTGTTGTCACACCAACAGGGCTACAACCCTTTACACAAGTTCAACAGCCCCCTCTTCTGCTTTCCCCCTCAGCTCTCTTTATGAGTGTTGTGGAGGGAGCTGGTGGCATCTCAGGAATCACATGGCAGGCAGCTGCACTCAGAACAAGGTCACATGGTGAGAGCAAGTAATCAGAGCGCAGAGCAGGCCACCACAGCCACGAGGCAATCAGAGAAGCCACCTATTTATTTTGTCGTATCATTTATGGATTTATGATGCAGGTCAATCTTGTTAATTTCTTATCAAACTGTGGCGACCAAATAAAAGTTGCTTTCATAGCCCTGCCTCCAACTGGGCTGTCAACTCTCACCCATTGGGAGTGAGACTCACCCATCTCAGTGTTTTCACACACTCTCGCTCCATATTCCCAATTTCTCACACTGAAAAATGACAGACATTAAAACTCAACTCAGTCTAGTTGAATAATCTCCAGTTGGAATTTAGGAGTAATTAAACCAACACAAATATTTTAATTCTTAAAGCTTTCAGGTTTGCCTCTCAAACCTATAGAATCTCCACAAAAAGAAAAAGAACCTTTGCATTTTATTTTTCAAAAGATCAGCCACCAAAGAAAAGACCAACCACATTCAGAGAGGATGTGCAGAACACCTCAGTTATCCCGGATTAATAGAGGAGAAACCATAGAGATGTTCTTCTTATATTATTACTTATCATATTCATTTATCTTTATTGTGGTACATTGAATATGTTTAAAAACGTAATTTCCATCACATTTTCCTAATGAAACATCCAGAGATGTGCTGTCTTGTGTCATGGTGAGTTTTTATTTAATCTACAGCCTCCTAGAAGGTCTGAATTGTTTAGCTGTTTTGTCAATTGAAAAAAAACAACAACAACTAATTAGATAATAACTTTTTTTTTAATCCTTAGACTATTTCCAAATATTCATACACAGTGTAGTTTGCATAGGTTTTGATTGCACTGGTTCCTGCATCAGTGCCAGTAATCCCGTAATAGCTTATTAGTTCCCCATTGTTTCATTTACTTGAACTGCAGAGAATAATTAATGAACAAAGTTGTGAAATTCTTAGTTTAAAGTATATTTAAGATGCAAGTATTTTCATAGTGCACATTCTGGTTTACTTTAATTCTCTAAAAATCACCAGAATGTAGAAAATAATGTATATTGTGAGAAAATGTTCCACATAACTACAGCCCACTTTTCGTTAATCGGTAACATTTAGAAAAAAAATTCCACATTTTGCCACTTATTTCAGTTAATTTCTCCGCCAATATATTGCTGCGCCTGTCCTCATCTAACCCTGACAGGGTTGCCTGTCTATCAAACTATTTCAAAATCTCACCCCAAGGTTTGGTGAAAAGTTGGCAGCCCTGCTCCAATGAGACAAAAAGTTATTTCACCAACTTTAGAAGAAAAGAAGTTGAATTTATTACTTTTTCTTTTTTTAGAGATTTTCTTTTGAATGGTTCCATTAGGTAAACCAAAGGCCTGTCTGAAGGCTAAAGAAATATATAAATGTTTATCTTTACTTTAAAACTGTCACTCAGTTGTTGTATACTAAGTGTACCTAGTGTTCCTCACAGCAGCTCTGTTCTTTCCCTTATGTCCTTGTAGATTTTTGCCCTGGTTGTGTTTGCCTGCATCACCACAGAGGGGTACGTCAACTCTTTCACCAGCGCTGATGTCAAATGCGTCTTCAACCAAAGCAACTCTGCATGTCAGTATGCTGTGGGTATCGGGGTGATCGCCTTCCTGGCCTGCATAGCCTTCCTCCTGCTGGATGTTTACGTGCCCTTCATGAGCAACGCTCAGGAGAGGAAGTACACCGTCATGGCAGACCTTGGATTCTCAGGTAATCAGTGAACTCATTTACAACTGTGGACCTGGGCTTATTTTAGGACTGACTTTAAAACTATTGATCAAGTATAAATATAGAAAAAAATTACAATAGACATATTTGATTTTTAAATCCACGTGGAACCTAATTCTGGTGTCTTTTTAACTGATAGTTGTAGATGTAGATTTTGCACCATTGAACCAGCCAGCTCCAGATCAGCATCACTGATCCAGCAGCATTTTCACAAAGTGCTGTAAATTGACCTGCAAAATAATTGAACAAATCTCAAATTAAGTTTATATGTTGTTCAAATCTTACAACTGTTGTATGTTGCCTCATTAAGGGTTTTAGGTCTTGGATGACTAAGAATAAACATGCCTTATCTTTATCTTGCATATTTTTTATTACAGATTAGATTTCCTGTCCCTTGCTGATGGTAGGTTAGGATAATGAGTAACTTTAAGATAGACTGAACATGCATACATATTTCAGTTGGATTTCTGCACATCATTAAATTAAAATGTCCGCAGAGTTATGCAGTTTGTTGGTTTTACCCAAGTCTTTCTGGTGTAAAAAGTAGTAATTTGCCATGAGCCATTAAGTACTGATCTGTAATTCATACCCACCTTTAGGGACTTGCTCTGACATGCCTGTTTTTAGGAAATGTTAAATAAGAGTACACCAACAGGGTGTAGATCTAAGCAGTTTGGGTTTGATAAGAGATGATAAGTAGTGAATGTCAAAAAGTTTGAACGGGGATCTGAAAGAGAATCCATTTAAATAGAGGGTAATATAAAATCTCCAATAAATAATTCGTAAGTGAATAAAATTGAGGCAAATATTCAGGAATTAGTTGTATTTTTTTCATGTCTATAATTCATCAAAATAACATGCAAAAAGTACATGGACCTAAAGTCACTAACCAGTTGTTTGTGTTTCTGTAGTAGTGACTGTAATATTAATGATTGATGAATATGAAAATATGACCCTCACACATATTTCATCGACATCATGCCGCTGGCTGTTACCCTGAATGTAATAATGTCTTAATCACTGCATAACTTTGTACTGACTGAGCTACAGGGAGGGGTGGGTGGATGACCCTACAGAATCTGAATCTGAATAAACTGTTATCAGCTGCACACTACACACTTCACAATCGGCCATTCTTCAGGCGAACAACGAAGTGTTAGTTGGGACAGAAACAACAGGCTGTGCTCAGTTGAGCGATAGCTGCACTTTTAACTGTTGTTTCTGTGCAGCGGTCGGCTATGTTTTCAGTTCATCTCAAAGTTTGCAGCTGAGTTTGTAATTTAGAAAGTTATTGACCATTTCTGCACCCCCCGCTGTGTTTTCCAGGGGTGTGGACTTTCCTGTGGTTTGTGTGTTTCTGCGTGCTGGCCAGCCAGTGGGCTCGCACTCATGATGTCAGGGCGATCCCAGAGGACGCAGCGCGTGCCACCATTGCCTTCTCGTTCTTCTCCATCGCCACATGGGTGAGCACAAAGGCCGCTATATAGTTCTCTTGACAGTTCCTCAGGCTTTAAGCATGAGTTAGCAAAAACATCTTGCCATGTGTATGATGACTAAGAGAGGAGGAAAACACTGCAGATATTGGTATAAACAATTATCAAATTACTGAAAATATGCCTTCATTTTCCTAAGATTATAAAACAAGCTATGCCTTCACATTAGGATTTCTATCACTATGCTTGGATAGCATAGGTTCTTTGGCTCTTTGCCATGGATATTCACTATTTAGTCATTTCTGTTTTCTTTAATAAGAATTGTAATTTAAGAAGATTTGAAATTTGATTATTTCAAATATATTTTATCTAGCTGTGACCGGTTATAATTTATAATAGAAGCAATTAGAATAAACTATTAAAAGGTTTGCATCTGTATGCATTTTAGCCTCTTTTATTGGTAGCATGCCCAGCCATTGTAAAACAGCAGTTTCCATTTGTGAAGCCGTATAACCAACTCCAGCTTTTTCTGTCAAGACTATCTGTCTTGCCATACTTTTAACAGCTAATATTCTTCAGCAGTAACATCTTCTTTACTAATGGTTGTTCTTTAGTGACTGGATACCATTTACAGTTTATGTGTTCACTGACTGGAAAGAAAAGATAATAACAATGTTGGCAGTTTTAAATTAATCCCTCACTTTTATTTTTATTTTATTTTTATTTAACCTTTATTTTACCAGGAAGTCCCTTGAGATAAAATACCTGGCCAAGAGGCAGCAGTACAATAAGACATATAAAAACACATAAAACAACATAATAAAATCAATCATAAACTAGACTCTAGAATAACAGTAACAATTCTCTGTGCAAGCGTTTTTGTAATAGTGATTTCAAATGCTGCAGCGGAATAAGAGTCCGTAATTGCAGGGAGTTTTGAATATTGTGCCACTTTGGCTCTTTTTATAACAATTTGCTCAGGAAAAACATTCCAATTCTTGTCTTTCTTGTATAAAAGTGTGTTTTTGTGATTAAATCATAAAATGCAATCAGTTGTTTTCTCCTATTCGACATTGCTGTTCACTTCTCTCCCAACAGTGAGTGTGAGGTCTAGCTGCTCTGCTGGTGCCGCTTTATGACCTCACTGCTCACTCCTGTGGAGGATAACAATGGTGCTAAACTTCCTCTGTTTGTAGAAAAATCAAATGTGTAAAGCAGGTGGAGTCCAGCCTGCCTCTGGATATGTTCTTTTTTTTTGTTTTTATCTAGCCTGTTTGGCAACAACAACTCAATATTTTAGGTCCTCAAAAATCCTCAACTCATCGAGAAAACGTGACATTACTATTGGCAATGATTTCTGATTTGACTCAGTCTTTCAGTCTTTCAGATCAGGGCTGAGACAACTAATCAGATAAATCGATTATTGAAATGATTGTCAACTAATTTAGAATCCATGAAGCGTTACCTGGAGTATAGAGACTCTAAAACATGCCTTCAGCTGACAGTGTAACCAACAGAGCAGTAATTATACCAAAATTGTAAAAAAAAAAAAAAAAAATGTTTAAACATTTTGGATTTAAGATTTAAAAAATTGTTTCTTCTGTCAATATGCTCTATCCTGAACTCCTCAAGTGGAAATGTTTTATTTTCACCTGGTTTCATTTAGTAAAAAAACTTCTTTAAGGAACCTTTGGCTATCCAGTTATTAATTGATGAATTTAAAAAATAATCAACAGATTGATTTGAAAAAATAATCCTTAGATGCAGCCCTAATTCGGGTAGTTAAAACTCTTCAAAATGGATGAATATGAATATGATATGTGCTGTGAACTTTTCTTTCCTTGCTGCGAATAGCTCAGGGCCTGTAGAAGGCCTGGGGTTAAATACTGCTTCCAGCTTTAGACACTTTTGGAAAAGTCTCCCTCTGAATAGCAAATGGACGGGTTTGAAATAATAACACAGATCTTTGTCCTTGGAGTCATGTCAAAAGTGCAGACAGGTAAGCAAGTAAACACTTTGATCTCTATATGGAAACATGTTGGCCTAAAAGTGAGGATGCTAAGGATTTGTAATTTTCTGCATAATTAATGCAATATAGCACAGAAGCATTAAAAAAAATCTTATGTAAAACATAGTTTTGAGAGTAAATGTTTTTTTATGATTGAAATTTTTTTCAAATACTATTTTTTTTTTTTTTTTCAAAAAATGTTTTATTTTTTCTAAATTCCTGCTTTTCAGGTTAGGCTTAACGAACTGCATTCTTTACAAGTTGTGTTTTACAGATGACATGCTCCTTTCTCCAAGTCTATAAACACTGTTGACACTCAGATTAACCAATCAAAATGTTAGTCCCTGTACATCAAAGAGAATTTTGAAGAAATGAGTTATGACAAAAAAAAACTTTAGAAGAATAAAATAAAAAAAAAAAACCTTAGGTTTTTTTTCAGAAGTGCATTTTTCTTTTTTTCTTCTGAAATTTCTATTAACTAAAAGTGTTCTTTGCTTGCGTCAGCAATGGAACAAAATTTACACCATTTATTGCTGGTCAATTGACCTTGTTCACAGAAAAGTTTCAGAAAAAAGTTGTCCTGCTTCCTAAAGTTTTCCTTAGCTTTGCGAAATGTAATGACTGCAAACAGACTGCAAACGTGATCTAAATCTGATCTTTTTCCCCATAAGGAACTCACATCAGACTTTTTCACTCCAATCTGAGCAGCCCAATTTCAATCAGTTAAATACAGAGTCTGCTTCTGTGCAGACTTGGTGAAATTTTGCAGGGGATGTAATGACAAACTAGCTACAACAGCGCACATGTGGTTGTCATAGCAATAACAGCTTTCCTTTTCCGTCTGAGGGAAGAGGCCGTCCCATTGTTGTTTATACCCTCCCCCTACAATCCAGGCGCCCTCCACAGCTGTGAGTGTGACTTCATTGGGGGTGACACTTGATAGTTATGGGTTAGTGCTTAGGGGGCATTTTGGGATTCAGCCAGACTGATAGGCAGCATCCTGCTCCAGAGCGGAGGGCAGGTTGCGTTCAAGAGCAGGCTTAACAGCTGATTAATGTACAACAAACTCATCAAATCAAGTGCTTTTTAACACACATTTAATGCAGTTCAATGAATACATGTATGAAGTTTAACAATGCATATTTGACCAGTTATTTTATTAATTTTACAAGGGAGGTTTAGCCTCCCTGGTAATCAAAGAAAAATCTGCACATCTTTGAACAGTGCGCTGCTGTGTAATGTCTACAGTCACTTTGGTGCCCTGAACTGGGTCTAATAGCAGTCACATTTAATTGCAGTTTATAGCGCAACACACAAAAAATTAAAGAAAGAAAAAAAATCTAAATTGAGCATACGTGTTCTGCTGTATGAACGTCGCCCCAGTTTGAACTTAATTCAACATAATGGGGGGAATTAAATATTTCATAAAAAGGCAAGTTAAAAAATAGCCCAGATAATTGCAAAGCTTGCAAACTAACAGGGTTTTGTTTCTTTTTTGTGGCTCACATAAAACCACACACAAACAGAAGACATGAGAAGATTAGTTTTGACATTAACAATTCATTGATCAGGAGATTTTTTTGGTACCTGAGAGAATTGGACTAAATGATGATATACTTGTCTGGGCTGTTGGACATCTAAGACAGTAAGACCTGCTGGTTCGTCCAGAATGATGACATGAAAGTGTCAGCTTCCAGGTCACGGGGTTTTTTTTAAGACCAGTGCCAGATCTTATATTGGACTGTCAAATGGAAGGGGGGGTGTTGCTCTTTAAAGTGGCTCTTCATCTAACTCTTTATCTTGGATTTCTCACCCAATTATATTTAAATAAAAAGCTAAACACCTTTTTTTTTTTCTCTTCTCCGGCAGGGAATCCTAACCTACTTTGCCCTGGGCCGCTTCCGTAGGGGTGTCGATGAAATCAGCATTCCTACCTACACAGAGGCGCCCTCGGATCTCCACACCCCCTACCCCCCCACCTACGCTCCTACCTCCTACAACCCCACAACATATACCCCCACCACCTACACCTACCCCAGCAACATTCCAGAAGCGCAGAAGCAGCCCCCATTCACCTCAAACCTCCCGCCGCAGGGAGACACCAGTTACCTGCCGCCCAAATACTGACACAGCAGGCGGAGTTCTTGTGGATGATGCAGCGATCCAGATCATCTGCAGGCCAATAGCCTATAGCTGCAATGCACAGACATGGAGCTCTATCATATTGATGTGGTTTTACATTCAATTTAACACACTGTTCAAAGTGTCTGGGAGGATCTGAGCCAACGCGTTGGAAACAAGGAGCAGAACTGTTTACGTCAACAGATCCAAGATCAGATCTGAAGACACTGAAGAGGCTTGAGCAATGTGACCTTTGTGCAGAAGCAACGTTTACCTCCGCTGGGCTGAGCGTGTGAGGGAAAGGTAGCGTAGCAGTGAATCCTGAAGAGAAACAATTGGTGTGGAAAAGGCCAACATGTTTTCTCCTCGTTATAAAGACAATATGGTTATGTGCCAACTTATTTTGTTTTTTGTGGATCCTTTTTCTTTAAATTACTCAAAAAGCTTTAGTGATATCATATACCAAATGGGTGATAAGGTTTGTAGAGAAAATGTTTAATTATTTTTCATAATCATGGATTCTGTATAAGACAAATACTGCGAGAAGTCATTATGTGTTTGTCAAAATGAATTAAAGCCTTGAAGATGGAGCATTTCCTCCAGTCTGACCATACATATGAGTTGGTTACAAAAAAAGGTTTACATGTATTAAACTGACCTTTAAACTTGCAGCTAACTTTCTGATAGAGAGGGAGGAGCTCTGAGATAACGCAGCACTTATTTAACTGGTCCGTCCACTGAGCGCTTTCTTCCCCCACAGCCAGACGCCATCTTTCCTTTGTTTAACACTGACATTTTCAGTTTACAATGGTACAGTTACAGCTCTCTGAGTGTGAATCTCTCTGGTTTTCTTAAGAAAGACTTGTAGAACATGTGTTTGGTGTCTGGTGGTGAACAGGTTTGTCAGCTCTGTCTGCGGCAGATCAGGCAACGCTAGATCAGTTTTGGTTTGTTGTGTAAGCTGAAGTCTAACCTAAGAATAGCGTGTGGTAATTTTCTCAAGTCATCTGTGCAAACACATGTAGATCTGTAGATAGATGTTTGTACTTTTCATGCAAAATTCAAATGTAATCGGAACAAAATACTGTAGACTATATTGCAACTTCATTTTGGCATTTAAGACAAAAGACACAGGAAGGATTATCTATAAAATAAAATAAAATTAGCTACAGCACCCTGCCAACGTTTTCATCTCTCAGGTTAAAATACCCCAAAGTTTTTGGTCATAACGTAAGATTTAAAAGAAAAAGTACTTTTTACATTTACTGTAAAAACAAAGTAATGTGATTTACTAAGGAAGACGTGAACAGTCGTATCTGTTCCTCTTTCAGATGGCAGCCTTCCATTAGGAAAATAACTGGTAGCAGCAGAAATGTGTACTTTCTGCAGAATTGGAAAGATCGTAAATTTGAAACTGGTTTAGGAACCAAAGTAGAGTGAGTTGAAAATGTGGTTGTATTCTATGGTAATGAGGGTAAACAGCTGTGCATTACAGTTGCATTTCATGTCACATCCTGAAAGTGTTTCCATGAAGTTGAACTGTGACATTTAAAGCAGCTTTTGATTACTCATTTTGAACGACCACCCCTGAATGTGCATGAATCATGTAGGCCTAAAAGTGATGATGCTGAGGGTTTGTAATTTTCTGCATAATTAAAGCAAATGGTTCTGTGATCTCAGAAATATATGAATGTTGTGCATCTTGTGTGATTCATGGTTTAAAATAAAAAAAAATGTAGAGGATTTAGCATTAGATGTTTGTTTCCTCTGTTAAATGTTTAACCTCTAAACACACAGCACACAGGTGAATAAATCGATTGATGGGATTAATTTGCTTTTACTGGTAATAAAATGCATGGTTGTAACTAGTAGGGAATTACATCAAGGTTTTATTTGATATTTCCTTAAGAGCTGCAGAAATGTTACAAACTATTCCTGCAGTTTAAAATCATCTTAGTCAGATGCCAAACACAGTATGTCATGTTTGCAAATGCTGATTCTTCAGTGGCACATGTGCTATAATTCTCTTAAGACAAATTGCCAGGTTTGTCTTATCTGACACCATTTTAAAGCATTAAAATCTTCACTCATACTTTAAGAAATACTTCTAGACAAGTCCTTAAATGGAAACCACAGAATAAAACTAAAATGCAAAAAAAATTTAGCAATATGGGTCTTTATTCCCTCTTTGTCAGATATGAGAATGTTACTTTTCAAGGCTTCATACCCACCCACCTTTTAATTGTATTTTAAATGATAAATTCCAAACATGACAGCATGTATTTTATAGGACAGGGCTTCAAATGCAGAAACTATGAGGCAGATCTCTACAGCTTAAAGGCAATTGGACAAAAAAAAAAAAAAAAAGTCTGGAAATCAACATTTTTGCAGACATACAAAGTACTCCAAACAAATTCCAACCTACATTAGACTGCTCAGTCAGCATCTCCCTGCAGTATAATGGCTCTTCAAGATTTAAGCAGATTATTCTATTTACTTTGCTGTGTTGGAGAGGTGAAAATAAAAGTAAAACATCCAAGAGTTTCCTACTGTCAGAGATGCCTGAAGACGTAACAGAACAAGTTAGTTCTTTTATTATACTGACCTGAAACAAAATGAACAATGTCAAAACTAAACACAAAGGTATCCATATTACCATTTCTAAAACTGTAAGTTGGTAAGATTCTTTACATTTAAAGCAATTAATAAGTGCTCTGTGTCTTTCAAGTATACATTTTATATTACATCCACATCCCTATAAAAATTCATAGCAAAAACTAAAGCAAACATCACACATAAAACAGCTAGATGCTACCTACACACAATATGTGAAAACAAATGTTTCAAACTGATTATCAAGTCTTGTTTTTCCTCGTTAGAGTTGCAGAGAGGAGAAGAGTTTCCGGGGAACGTTTGAGCCAGCGTGTTTTGCCATCAGGACGTGTTGTGGAGTTTCATTCCTGAAAGAGGAACTGTTCTCTTTGTCAGCCACCAGACCTCCATAACACTTTCTGCAAACCGCCTGGTACTTATCCGCACCTCCGATTACCTCTACCTGTAGAGGAAACAAAAATCCAGTGGAGTTTGATGATTCAATTTAATAGCTATGCACCAAAACTATGCAAAAATCATTCAAATGTTGGCTAGTAGATGAACATTAGGGTTTCTTTAAATCATGTTCATCATGATTTGACAGCTCCACACAAATATATGTAAAGTTATTTTTTATTTATTTTTTTTATGCTTGACGCCAGAACAGCCATAGAAATCTACCCTGTTGGAATAATTATGCATAAGATACTTAATGTTTGTTCTTATGATGTATAATGTGTGACATATTATTGTTCCAGAGAGGTGTTGCACAAGCAGTAAAGGTCAACCCTCAGGAAGTATTGCTCAAGCTTAACGAAACCAGGAGGTTCTCGGACCATTTGACCGCAAGACATTTAAATGCAAATTGACCTGTTCACTGAGGCTGCAAATTGAATTGTATTTCTTGTTTCCTATTCCTTTAGCGCAACCTCAGCTTGTGTAACTGTATGAGCTCCCTGACCTCCTTCTCTGCTCCTATCCTCTTGGTGTAGGCAGCTTCTTTGAAACACTGCATGCAGACGGCGTGGAGCTTCACCACGCTCTCTGCCAGAGGAACCAGGTTCAGGATGTTTCCGAAAGGCTGAAAGAAGAACAGACATGTTCAAGTTTACATTTTAGAAATAATTCCTGATGTGAACGCAGAACTTCTGACTATAACTACTACCATTATGATTGTTAACATTTCTGTCAATACCTATATGTGGTCTATGAGTTTATTTCAAACAGAAAATAATCCTTCCTCGATGGTTGTGTAGTCACATCAAATTCATGCACTTCTACAGGTTAACCATTAAAAGTCTCCCTTTCTCAGAGTGTTTCATTCTTGGATGAAGCTATTATCAGAGCTACTTTATTGGGAAATCCTTTGTTCAATTTTGCATTCCTATTGAAAGTTCTCCAACCCAGTGCTAGGGCTGAATGAAATAATTGATTTGCAATAATATCGCGATATGATAAACAAGATTATCTAACCACAAGGGTCACATGCTGTGGGGGGTGTCTCGCTCTCAGAAGAGCATAGAGGAAGAATCAATACTCGGTTACAGGTTACTGTGCATAACCTGTTGAACACTGGCCCTTAGGCTGGGCAAAAACTGACACAACTGAGGGTCTGGTATCGAAGAGGAGCAGTATATCACTTGTATGGAATTATTTTGGGTAAAAAAAAAAGAAAAAAAGACGATGCTGCGCTACGTCAGGTGTTGTGCAATTAATTCATTGCTACTGTTGCTACCTCACGAGGTAACACAACAAACTTTTATCAAGACTTTAAAAAAAAAAAAAAACATTGCAAAACCATGTATGACAGCTGCATGACTAGCAGGGTCTCTAGTCAGTTGAATTCTATTCAAATCAATTAACAAAATTTGAAATTGCACACTGAAATAACGAAGTTTATAGCGAAATACATAATGCCATTTAAGTATAGTGACCACGCCTGGGTTTACGGCTTTGGTTAGCACGATGGATAAGCAATATTTAATCTCTTCGTGCACGTATTTCAGCCAGGTTACCATAGCCGAGCTATAAAAACAAAAATGTAGAAAGAGTTGCAGCAGAGCTAAAAACTGGAGTTTCTTGCAACATTCACTGGTTTGTGGTCAAGTCGTACGGCGGACTGAGTGAATATATATTTTACACAATTTAAAAAGTGTGTATATACACACTTGTTTATTTTTGTGTTCATTTGAAAGTTTGATTTACCTATAAAAATTTCAACTGGTTGAAAGAAGTCTTTTGTTCTCCATACTTTTTGGGAGACTCTTTAGTAAGCATAATATTGAGTGACTGTTGATCAGTCAATGTTATTTTAGCATTTTATTTTATTTATTTATTGATTGTCCTGTTAAAATCTGGCAGATTTAAAGGAGTGCAGTCCTATATTTATATATCATGCTTCATAAAACAAAAAGATGTTAATGAGGTACGGCCACAAATTTGTTTTCTTTGGCAGCCTACTGGTTAGGGCAAAGAGCTTGGAATTCTGAGGTTGTGAGTTCGGGCCCCACTCCCACAGTCTGCCACTCTGCGTCTCTGAGCAAGACCCTTAACCCCACAATGCTCCCTGGGCGCCGCACAATGGCAGCCCACTGCTCCCCAAGGGGATGGGTTAAATGCAGAGATAAATTTCTCCAATGTGAGATCAGTAAGGTTCAATTATTAATCATTATCGTAGTAAGCTGTGCTTTAAATAAATCTAAGGATTATTTGTTTAAGATGACTTGATAAATATGAAACTGGAAAAAAAAAGAAAAGAAAAATTAGCTCTGATGTGATCTGACCCTCTTACGTAAATAAAAACAGAAAACAGGCCAGGAAAACAGGGATACTGAAAAGCAGAGGAAGTAACGTTACATAGCACCAGAGGAATGTTGACTTAATTACATAAAATCACAAAAATCAAGGCTATTGTGTGTAGAAAATGAGCGCACTGAAACACTGGCTGTTCCTGCTGATTGTTTGGGTTTTCCTTGGATAATGTGTTCATTGTGTTGAAGGTCTTATGACATCTTTTCCTCACAGTGCTGCTCAGTATGAGACACCCACCTTCCTCTGGAAGGTTCCATCCAAGGCAGCTACAATGACCGTCTTCCCTAAATTGGCCATCTCCTCACAAAACTCCACCGTGTCAGGAAACTAGATGGAGGAGACAGATCAGATTAGTTACAGAGGGTTTGCCTCATATATGAGAAATGTCAATCATAAAGGTGACAAATGTAACTTTGAGAAACAATAAGCCAAATATTGCTGTCCATTGAAAGGTCTCAAGGCTCAGTGGTGCGATATTCAGTTGCATTTTCCTGCCCAGATTAAGTTATTGCTGTTAACCGTCTATGCTGTTTGGTTTTCTTGCTATAAAAAGTACATCTGTGTCAGTGCAACGGTATTCTTTTTTCCCAAGTCAGCCATCTTTCAAAAGGTTTTGGCGATTTGAACAAAGGAGCAAAAGAGGTAATTTGCGCACAAACTTACAAACTGTCCTTCATCGATTCCGATGACGCAGGCTTGCAGCGCTGCAGCTCTAACATCTCCCAGACAGGTGGCCGGCACAGCCTCCATGGTGTTTCTAAAACAACAGATGCAAAGAAAAATGTAGTGAACTAAGGGATATTTTGACATTAATGTACTGGGGGATTGTAATGTTTCCTTTTTAACCTGATAATATTGAGATGTTCATGCAGTCCAGGGGTTATTTGGTGCGGATTGTTTGCTATTCATTCATTCTGTTTACTTTGCCAGTTTTAAATACAGATGCAGCAACGAGATCGGCAGAAATTTACATTTTATTTATTTTATTTTTTTCAACCAACCATCAGCATGTCCTTTTATTAATTTCATCTAGGGCTGCAACTAACGTTTATTTTGCAAATTGATTAATCTGTCGATTATTTTTTTGATTAATAATTCGATAGCAAAAGGTTCCTTAAGGAAGATCTTTTACTAAATTTAACCAGGTGAAACTAGAAATTTTGCACTTGAGGTCTGGATAGAGCATATTGACAAGCGAAAGCATTTTTTTTTTTTTCAATCTTAAATGCAAAATGTTTATATATATTCTAACAGTTTTGGTATAATTAAATGGGTTGCTCTGACAGCTAAAGGCAGTCTAACCTGCAATTAAGATTTAATCCATTACTAAATGATTTGATGATCATTTCATTGATCAATTAATCACGATTAATCTGATTAATTTTTGAAGCCCTAATCTGTTCTTCAACAGGTAAAGTTTAGGGATATATTCATGCATAAAAGTTACAGTCCTTTAATTTTTTTGTTGATTTCAAGACTTATACCTCTAACAAAGTACGTCAAGGAAATCTAAATATTGGTATTGACCAGAGATGGTCTGATTAGTCACTGGATTTGGTTTGCTTCGTAAAGTGGGTTACGCTATAGTATATTTTTAAAAATATTAATGTTATCTAAAAACAAGCATATTTATTCAAAACTTCAAAAGGTACTCAGTAACTACAGGAACATCCACCAGAGGTCAGCTTTTGCTCATTGTTTCAGCTCAGACCCATTTCCTGCCAAACTATTTTCATAGGCAGCCAGTGATTTTTGAATGTTAAACTACAAGACTGATGCTTTCATCTCAGCCTTTTTAAAATAACATTCAATACCCTTTTTACTAGATGTGACAAAAAGTACTGGGCGTGAGTTGAAGCATGGATAGCCTCCAGTATTGAATTAGAATTATGAAGCTTACTTGTCATGTGTGGCAACACCAGAGTCAGAATACCGGATGTCTTTGGCATATTTAACCAGCAGACATTTGTACTGGGCCACCTGAAAACGGCGAACTCTCCTCATCAGCTCAGTGCTGCAAAATAATGATCAAAATAAACAATCAATAATCTTATTGAGCTCTTATTTCACACATAGCAATCCCATTCTATTACTACCAGGGAATCTCACTCACATGATCATGCAACACAAGCAATCTGCAAAGGACAGTGGATCTACTGTAATAGATATAGAAGTGTACTGTGTCTGGATATGGATATTTATAAACCGAGTTGAATTTGGACTAAATTGTCTTGAGATTTCATTGGTTGTGGTTCATTGTGTGAAGCATGTAACTTAACTAAACTTTAAAAAAAAACTAATGACCCTAAAAACAGGAAAAACACTTATTTGGCATAAAATTGAAAGAAGCAACAACTGTGTGCTTCACAAAAGAATGATGTAAAAGTATCAGAGTTGGACAAACAATGCAGAATTGGCGGGATATGAGGTATCATCTCCGAAATGGCAGCTCTGACCATGTTTAAGCTTCACTGTGAACACCAATAATGGCTAAAACCAATAGAATACATCAATTAAAGCAATTTAAAGCAGTTACAGGTAAAAACTAGGGAAGAATAACTCACCTTTTGCCCGAAAACATCGGCCCAAATATTATCTAAAAACAGGAAAATGTGAAAAGTTTACTTACAAATAGGAAGTCGTGTTTACCTTTTAAATTTACAGTGAGTTTTATACCCTGTTTATGATGAATTTTACGGTTTTATCCAGAGGCTACCGACCTGAATCTGTCCCCGGGATCTCCTTGGTGAGTTCTGCAGCTTTATCGGACAAACCGGCGAATCTAAGAAGTCCATTTTGATTTAAAAGCACGCTTTATAATAAATTACAATAAATATAAAATAAAATACGGGTATAACTCTTCCTGTTGTTTCTAACAAGAGCTGAATGGAGTGAAAACTTTGAATGCTGCGCGCTAACTCATTTCACGGATATATCCTGTAAATTGACCAATAGCCGTAACCCCACGTGACACTAGCGGCCAATCAGCTTTGCTGCCGCTTACCACGAAACGACCTGCTCGCGCCACTGATGTGACCAATCAGTGCACAGACCACTTTAGCCTCTGTTATTGTTCTTCTTCTTCTTCTTTTTTTTTTATTTTTTATTTTTTATTTTTTATGGCGATTGGCAAGCAACTTATTGATGTGCATTACCCCCATCTACTGGAATGGAGTTTCTTCGCCTCTATTTTTTTTTTTTTTTTTTTTTTTTTTTTT